CGGGATTTAGCATCTGTCAGCATTACCACATACCGTGAGCCAAGATTGGTATTTAACAGTTTCTCTGTTGATATCTTGATAGACTGATTTTCTGCATCATAGTTGTGGCAGTACTTCCCGGTTGGTGCCCTGGACTTATCCCTAGTACCATCTGGGAATTCTATGTACACTCCAGCACCACCATTTGTAACTGCACTTTGTGCGGACCCATCTGTATAGACTCTGACCCATTGTTCTTGTGGGTATTCTTTATCAATATTGCGTTGTACACTATCTTGCTATTTCTTGTCAAATATGCCTTTCACATTTGTCTGGATTTGAAATCTTGTGACATCCAGTAAAAAAAAAAAACAATAAAAAGAAAGTGACTCATAAAACTAAGCATTACTTAACTTATGAACAATGAATGTGACATGGGGAATAACATTTGTAAAAAAATTTTATTTCTTTTTTTATAAGGTCCAATTTTAATTTTTTCTAATGGGGCAGAATATGGCAGCTGGATTTAATCATTTGGAAGAAATGAAAGCTTCTATGTTATGTGTAGTCCGTGGTGTGGCGGCTACATGCTCACTTTCGGATGCGAAGGTTGTGGGTTCAGATCTAAAAACAAACCTGATTTTCTTCAGACATGACCTTGGCTTACAAGTCGACCTCCCCTTAAATGGGTATCAGATTCAGTCATGGAAAGTAAAAGCGACCGATGGGATGCTGACTAAGTAGGTAAAGTAAAGGTCCCTTTTCCACGCCTTTAGGCGTATAGGGCATATAGGGCTAGACCTATATTTTTATAGACATATCGGCACAAGACGGTTGATGTGGTCAATATCACGCCGGCCGCCTTTACTTCCCGAGACTGCACCTGATACCCACTCAATGTTGGGTCGACCTGGGAGTCTGTCATTTTTTTTTTTTACAAAGCACGGCTCCGCCAGGGAGCGAACCCACGATTTTCTGATTCGCAAGCGAACGTCTAGCCCTTACGCCACGATGACTCAAATGTTGACGAAGTGGTCTATAAAAAATTAAGAAGAGTCTAGCATGATATGCCTAATGCGATAGTGACATGTAAAGGAACGTTTACTTTCCTCCGCAGAAGTGGGTTTCGATCGCGGTACGCTGGCTTACGAGTCGGACTCGCAACGCCTAAGCCACGGACGCCGCCTTATTGTTGTGTTGTCGATTCTTAATTAAACGTTAAACACATAAATCAGCTTTTTTGGTTTAGTACAAAGTTGTGTTGCACCTGTTGTGTGATTACCTATGATATTTGCAAGCATTTCAAAATCTTTCACAGTTCCTGCTATTGGTGCTCCGGGCACATCTGTTACTGCCATTGTTCGAGCCTTGCTTTCGTTGCAGACAGGGCCAGATAAGCAAGGTAACTCGTAATGCTCTTTATAACATCTGCACCGGTTTTTTTATAAATGACTTATAGGTCTCAGTAGCGAAGTGGTTAAGCGTTTGCCTTCATCTCCGAAGGTAGCGGGTCCGTTTCACTTTATTATTTTTCTAAACTATATGTTGACGTAACTCTATTTAATGCAACTGACCAGATACAGCGAAATATACCAGGTAATCATTGTGCAATGTGTACTGTTAAAAAAAGGCACGAAAAAGAAAGAAAGAAAGAAAGAAAGAAACAAAGAAAGAAAGAGAGAGAGAGAGAGAGAGAGAGAGAGAGAGAGAGAATGAAAGAAAGAAAGAATGAAAGAAAGAAAGAAAGAAAGAAAGAAAGAAAGAAAGAAAGAAAGAAAGAAAGAAAGAAAGAAAGAAAGAAAGAAAGAAAGAAAGAAAGAAAGAAAGAAAGAAAGAAAGAAAGAAAGAAAGAAAGAAAGAAAGAAAGAAAGAAAGAAAGAAAGAAAGAAAGAAAGAAAGAAAGAAAGAAAGAAAGAAGGAAAAATTATCTAATGGTGTTTTCCTGTTCAAATAAATAGAGGCGAATCTTTGATTTTGAAGAAATAGTATATGTATAAAATAAACAATTAGATAATGTATTGATCAATCAATACATTGTCTGCTTGTTTACGATATATATGCATAATATTTTTGCGGTTTTAAAGGTCCACTCTCTGTTTATTTATATACCTTACTAGTAACACAATGGAACTGACCAATCCGTTCTTTTTCTGAAATGTTTAATATATTTTAGTGTTATACGCTGGAAAACGACAAAGACTACTGTTCAGCAGCTCAAAGATTATGATTTAATCTGGTTTTAAAAATGACCAATAGGCCACAGGAACAGCTTTTAGTTTTAGACAGTAAGATAGGGAAAAGTCTGGCCACTGGGTATAAAAAGGCCAACTGAAACTGACACAGTATTTGTCTCCTATTTAACTTCCGGACACACCATGTGGAGACCTACTCGGTTGTTGTAGCTCTGCACTTGAGGCTCGCCAGCATGGGTATAGGCGACTACATGGGAAAGAAGGTTGTCAAGCTGATTTAGCAAGCGGTGGTACGTTTCCATATTTAGTCCTAAAATAGAAGTCTCTAATAGTTCTACTGTGTAATATGTAGGTGTGTATTCTCGCTCAGATGGCAGGTAGCTACAAGCGATATTTTGGTCTGGTGGCATTTGAAGCTTAACGTATATGTTAAATATGTTTCGGTTTTTGCCATTGTTGAGGTAATCTCGCTGAGCGTATGGTGCATTATCATACTTCCTTGTTAGCTGATGATCGCTTAAGACTCTGGTCGGGCACGTTGGTTGTTGTTAATGTTATTTGTGGAATAAACATATGTTCAATGTAGTAATCATAGTTCCAGTTGTTTTCCGTTTAGATTAAGACTTGTAGTTAGTGTGCCTAGTTTAGTATTTGTTGATTGGCTGATCTAGACTTTACACAAAAGATTTCCTGTCAGGGTGAGATACTTTTGATCTTACCCCCGCCTAAACGAACTTTTTCTCTTTTTTGTTTCTTTATTTTTTTTTTTTTTTGTTTTTTTTTGTTTTGTTACTGAGGCAGCTCAAGGTTGGGTTTTGGCACTCACTTGCCTCGTTACATTGTTAGAGCTCTTGTAGGTTCGGGGTCGAGGAGATTTCAAGGAGTAGATTTCTATATTATCCATTATAGTTTTCTCTTTTACTCCATTACAAGTTACCCCCTCTGCTTTACTTCTAGTACACTAGACACAGAATTATGGTCCAAATATGTTTGTAATTGTTGTTGTGTTTGTTATTCGACCTACGGAACTGCTTGGTTAAGATAAATGTTTTTGCCATTTCACTGGTTTTGGTTTAAAATGAATTCTCTCCGTACTCTGTAGTTGTGTATTTCAGGCTTTACGACAGACATAGCCAATGAAGACACCTTTTTTTTATGGGTACCTAGTTGGTCATGTTCTTAGTACACTTGTTTCTATAGCGAGACTCAAACGCGATTTGGAGGAGACAGGTTTGATTTCCGGCACGGTTATCTTTCTACATCTTTCTATGAGTACTTATCAATACATTGTCTGTTTGTTTATTACGTATACAATCTTTCCTGTTTAAAATAGGAGACACATAGTTATAAAATTTTGCGTTTTTTTTAGCTGATGGAAAAGCCTGGGCGTCTGAAATTTATCAGTGATACAGATACAAAACAAACGTGATTTGTTTCTTTGAACCATATAGTATTCTGGGTACAATTTGAACAATCTAACTTATTTAAATACATAGATTTTGAATTGCACAATTATGACAGAATTCGGAAAGAAATTTTTTTTTTGGGGGGGGGGGGGGGCGCTGTAGTTGCATTTTGCGATATGTGTGTGTGGGGGGGTGGTGGGGTTGGGGGGGGGAGGGGTCTTTAAGTCTGAGAATTTGAGGCCGCGTAGCAGATGCTATCGCCACGGACTGTACGGGTTAGGATTTAAATGTTGCTACCAGACAACACTTTACCATGGTTTTCTTGAATTACTTCAACCTTTTCCCATTTTCAGGTGCATTGTTTTCCAGCATCGCGGTTGTTGAGGCAGTGGTAGGCCTGGCATCCGCAGCTGCATGGTACCAGATTTATAGTTCCACTGTTGGTTTCATGCCTGGTTTTGTTTATGTTACCATGGCTGCGTGTTGCTTCCTGAGCTTCGTCTTGTTTATGTGAGTCGGCGTAAGCCTCTTCATTTTCATAGCATTCATGTTATTGGTCACTAAAGCAATACCGTTGTTTTTTGCAGCGATACAACTAATATATTTTCTAATAGTCCTATTGGGTGATGGCCAATGCTGCGTTTGGGTTAGAAATGCAGAAGAAGAAGACTAGCCCTATGGAAAATACTGTAGCTGGCTTAGAGATTGTGAGCGCAGTTTCCCAATGTCATAATAATAGGATCTGATGTCAACCGCAGCGCATTTGGTCGTAAGCCGTTTTGTGATGTCTTTCATATCAGTAATAGTTTCGTACCTTCAGAAAACGATAGCCAAAGGGTGCACACTCAGATGGTATCAAAAGCGAGGTCGACTACGCAAACGACAGAATGTGGAATAAATGAATGTTGAATTTTTTTGAGGAGAAGATAGCATGTAAAGGTATTAATTACCTTTTTCATCTTTTGTTCGCTTGAAATAGATTATCTATATCTGCAATGTTGTCTCTAGTATGAACTTTCCTGTCTTTTGTAATTCAATCAGAGACCCGTACAGTTTGACTTGCACCGGTGTTTCTCTTGGACAAAAGTTTTGCCTGGATATGTTGTATTAGGGACAGTCTTGGAGGACATGATCTGTTGTCTCAGGAGCCAGTCCACAGATGAACACGGCTGATTCGCCGATTTTAAATTTGTTTGTACATGTGGCTACGAAGTCGATTGTGTCCTGTTCTAAGGCGTAAAATAATAACTTGCTTTGGTCTGTCCATAAAATAGTAATCGCCTTGTGCCGATTTGGGTGGCTTTCTGATTGATTTGATTAGTCTCTTCTTTCAACAAGAGACTGGTACGTCAGGTTGTTCTTCATTTGAACCTTCCTTAGCTAGTTTATCAGTTCTTTCATTCCCAGGAACATTAATAATAACATTAATTTATTAATATTATTCTTATATGTATATATAATATAATACACACATATATTAATATTAATAACATATTAATTATGAAAAAAATCCCAATGTAGGTTCCTGTCTCCATACTGAGGCGGGTGGAGAGGAGGGATTTAGACAAACTGTCCCCAAATATGTCCTCAAAAGCTAACTAATTATGGTTGTTTCCTTTCAAGTCGAAGTATGTTTGTCTGAGAGGCGAGGAACCAACAGTATGTATACAAATAAGCCAGATCTGTAAAACAGATGTGCATGCAAAACTTACGTTCTGGAAACAAAACGAAAGTCTTATCTGTAGACTGTTCTATTCTTTGCAGTATAGCGTAAGTTACTTCATATACATTTATTACAAATATATTAAATTTACATTTGTTTCCACAGAATCTACAATCGTATTCAAGTGACACCAACCATATTTCAGCACGTAGTGCTTAGTAACCCCCTGGAATCAGAGTAAACAGTTCAAGACACATTTACAAAGTTCCTTTTTTAACAGCATCACAAATCTTAACATGCTGTTTAATTTGATATAATGTTATTTATTTTATAATTACATATTTAATATATGATGTTATTTATCTTTTAGATGATTCCACGTGCAAAAATAGCAAGGTTATGTTTTATATTTTAGATGATTCAACGTGCAGCACTAGCAAGGTGGAGTTTTATATTTTAGATTATTCCACGTGCAGCTCTAGCAAGATGAGTTTTATATTTTAGAAGAATCATCGTGCAGCAAAGGCAAAACTGAGTTTTTATATTTTAGAAGTTTCGAAGTCCAGCAACAGCAAAGTGGAGTTTTATATTTTAGATGATTCAACGTGCAGCACTAGCAAGGTGGAGTTTTATATTTTAGATTATTCCATGTGCAGCTCTAGCAAGATAAGTTTTAAATTTTTAAAGAATCATCGTGCAGCAATGGCAAAATTGAGTTTTTATTTTTTAGAAGATTCCACGTGCAGCTCTAGAAAGTGGAGTTTTATATTTTAGATTATTCCACAGGCAGCAATAGCAAGATGGAATTTTATATTTTAGATTATTCCACATGCAGCAATAATGATGATTCCACATGTAGCAATAGCAAGGTGGAGTAATTGTTCAGCTTCATAATCAGGGTAACGTGAAGCAATAAGAGCAGCCGGTTCACCAAGTTTGAAAGCAACAGCCAGATAATTGCTGGTCATTGCCTCAAACTCCATGACGGTAGGAAGATGATCACACTATAACGACAATGGCTGCTGTAATCCGGCCAATATGGTCATTGTCAAGGGAGGAAAGCGATGACAGACTACCTTCTGCGAGTTGCCAAGAATAATAATGATTTCACAACTAACTATTGTTTCTCCCTGAAGAATGCAAATAATATCATGGAAATACAGAAAAACAAACGAGAGAGATCCTCCAAGAGACAGTTGAAAGCCATTAACTGATTAAATAGATTAAACACAAACAGTCGACGTTGTTTTAGGCATGAGAAGGAAGGCACTCGAGAACTTGTTGACAACTGACAAGACTGATGGAAAGAAAACAAATGAAATGCAAAGATATAAAAAAATTGCCATATTGCTGTGGCCAGACAAGAACATTGACCGGATCCGGGATTCTTGATATCTATTAAGACGGCAAACTATGACAACCTAAGTTTATTGGTACAACACATGATGGTAAAAATGATGATCAGAACCTGTCTATTTCAGAATGAAATGTCTTTTAAACTTCTTTGGCATTTTAGAAAGACGTAAAACCTGCCTGTACTTATTTCAAAATAAATATCAAGAGAGTGAAATAGAGACTTGAAACAACTGCCTTATATATTTGCCAGTGTCGGTTCTGAGTCTCTATTTTGAGGTTTAGAAAAAAAAAATGGAACCACTTCCCCTTTACAAACAATTTGGCAACTTATGAAAGGTTTGCTGAAGTCGGACGTGGTGAGCTTTAAAAAAAATCTGGCAACGTAGTAATATAGTGATCATCATCATCATCATCTCCCAGCGTTCACATTGCCCTACAGATCTGAGTCCTGATTGGTTCTGCTTCACTTCTATTTATGGTATTTCTCCTTTCCAGTCAATAGCTATTCAGAAAATCTCTCTCTCTCTCTCTCTCTCTCTCTCTCTCTCTCTCTCTCTCTCTCTCTCTCTCTCTCTCTCTCTCTCTCTCTCTCTCTCTCTCTCTCTCTCTCTCTTTCTCTCTCTCTCTCTCTCTCTCTCTCTCTCTCTCTCTCTCTCTCGGCTTTTATTTTTCACTGATCATCTTGACAATCACCGCAGTGTTTTCCAATGATTCTCATTCCACTTTTACCTCAAATTTCACTTAACAATAAAACATGTTTAGAGTCAATATTACTAAACTGTTTCACTTCAATAATATAGTTCCACAACCTGTATCCAGTATCGTCTAAAATATTCAGTTTACATGAAATGTTCCTGTTTTTCTCGTATGTTTTCTCACAGACTGGGTAAATCAATTAATCGTATGAAAGCTAGCTGCAATTGATCCACAACACTCTCTGTCTTTCGCTCTGGATGTAGACTCTGCCGTGCTGCTGTTGTTGGTTCATATCATTATGTGATCATCCCACTTGTATCGCTGACTTTCTCTTACCCACTTGCCAATAAATTTTCCCTACAGTGTATTTTTATAATATGCTCGTAATATGGACAAAATATTTCAGTTGTCGATATTTTTATTATTATTAATAATCATAATTTCCCTCAGCAACTTTCTTTTCATTCAGTCTCTTAAGAACATTTATATTTGTTGCTTTTTATTGCCATGAAATACGCCCAGTTCTTCTGTATATAGACCTCAGTACAATTTTCGAATTGCTTGTTCATTGTCCAGGTCTCTGCGCCATCCAACAGAGTTGAGTGTACATACTATTTGACAATTCTCTCTCTCTTTTTTTTTATGTGTTGTGATCACCTCTAGTTGTGAGTAATATCTTTTTCGCAGTTTTTTAAAGCTATTATATTGTTTGACTGCTAATTCACTTCTGTTAATAATCTGTTACAGTGTATCACTGTTACAACTTATCCAAGATAGGAGCAACTTCAATTTGTTCTAATTTCTCTCCTCTTACTGTGATATCCATTGTAGCCAGCTCCTTTCCATTGTTGATTATCAAGGGATTTTTTGTTTACCATTTTCAGCACCAAGTAGCTCGCCATGTGTTTACTGATTACTCAGTACGTGGTAGACATTTATTAACCCTTTCTCTTCAGTTTTCTAACTAGGATCCATTCTATTCCAAATATTATTATCTCTTCCGCCTTTTAGCTGTGTTAGTTAATCTTCTTGAGACGCCAACAGTATTTCTCTAATGTACACAGACATACCTTAGAAAAGACAGTCTTTAAGCAACAACCCTGTTGGACTGAAAGAGTTTCATATTGATGATATACAATCAATGCTAGTGGGTAAATACTATGTTGAAAATAAAAAAGTCTTCAATCGAGCTAATATCAAGAAATGAATTTCCAAAACACTGTCTGTGACTAGCAATCAAAACGAGGTGTGAAATGAGAAAAAGAAAAATGCGTCAAGGTAAAATCGAACGCTTCATTGATGTTTCAGTCAACGGTAAAGATTGCTATCGAAACGTTCGGTTATATCAGTGCGCTTTTTGATTGTATGACCGCCTTGTTGAGTTCCCTAATCGTACATTATTATTTATTTAGTCGGCTGCTTTGTTACTGGTTACTCCAAAAGCAAGCAATACACACGGGTGTAACCCATAATTGCTCAGTTCTTCTAACTCAAGCATAAGTCTAAAGAATCTAAGCTCAATACACCACCTCTGTTGCACGGCAAGAATCCTGAAATAATTTGGGTAGATTTTTAACTCCAAATTGTGCCCGAGTAGCGCCGTTAGGATACTCTTTTTGATTCCCAACAGCCAAGGAATGTTTTACCTGTGCAACAGTATACACGGGCGTCTGGTCTTACTACCCAGAGACCAGAAAAAATTTACTAGAAGTCCACGTGAAAAATCCAAGCCCTTACCGGGGCTTGAACCCAGGACCTCTAGCACTCGATACGGACACCATGCCTCAAGACCACACAGCCCCCTTTACAAGTCAAACGTTAAGGACATTTTTTTCCAAAGAAAATGTCCCTTATCACATCGGGAATGTGATGCTAGATACTTTTATAGACCAATCGTCACTGGGTAGGTGATATCGTCAACATTACCCTGGCCGCCTCAACTTCCCAGGACTTTACCTAGTGCTCATTTTAAGCTGGATTGGCCTTGGCGCCATTGCTATTTTTTTTTTTTTAAACTCCGACTCGATGTGGTTTTAAATCCAAGACCTTCAGGTGACCAGATAAGCGTCTAAACACTGCGCTACCTCACATACAGCAGGCTAATATACTAAATGCTATTCAAGAAGTGAGACGATTACACGAACCAAGTGACGACTGTGAACCTGAAACCGTGACTTGACTGCATGGACAGTAAATTTAACAGAAGCAAGACCATTTAACACACTGGAGAGGTACTGCAGGTATCGGATTCCTGCAGCCGTAGACACTGAGATCAAGGCACTAATAGGTCAGCATTCACATCCATAATACACCATGATCTACACAGATGGGTCTGTAAAGCGCAGATCAAGGTCAGCATGGGCAAACACAGCACGAAAGATGGGGAAAACTATAAAAGAATAGGGGCCCTTACCAGACAACTCAGTCAAGACTACTAAGATAACCTCTTCTAACAGAACCCTAGCATAGCAGTCGAACAAGCAGTCACACGTTTAGTTATTGAATCAGATACCATAAACACGCTTCTGAAAATTGCAACAGGCAGTAAACGTTCTGAATGGGTAGAAAGCATTCGCAAACTGCACTTATCCTCACCCACATGGATCAACAGACAGGGTCAAGCCCACGTAAAATATAATCAGCGAGATGACCTACCAACTCACACACAATGCACCAACGTATGTGGGAAGATTCATGGACAAAGCAGATATCATCAACGCTGTACAGACTAGGCTAACGGATAATGTGGAATCTCTGTCACTAACACGATTGCGTGATCTGGGAGTAAAGCACAGTGATGCCCGTCTATGCCCCATTCGAGGCCGAGATAAGAAACTTTATAACCAAGTCCTCTCTGGAATAATAAGGAGAGATACCTTTTTTTTCAGTTTAACCTGATTGTATTTTAATTTACAACCATAGTGAACCTAGTCCTTTTTCGGCAGTTCGAGCCTTGCTCTTGATAACTACTGGCTTCTGGCTCTGAATGATGGCACATATTCGTCTAACGACATCATTGATCAAATCCTTGCTGTAGTTGTTGTACTTCAGGGTTCTGCGGATTGTGGCAATAGTGCGGCGTGAGCGTTTCTTCAGCTCCACGTGAGTCAGATTCTTGGTGTGTTTGCGAAGACCCTCGCTTTTACGAGTCACCACGGAGACACCCTTGCCATCCTTGACTGGCTCAATGCCAGCTGTCTTGCGGTGAATAAGTCCATTGTAGCGGAAAGAGTTGCCACCCTTCAAATTGTTGGGTTCCAGACTCATGTACTGTCTACTCCTCTTCAGAAATGTAACAGAGCTGCTTTTGATAATCAGCCAGGTGAGGTCTGCGCTTGCCGTTTTTTTTTTCTACAGTATGGTAGCAAACGTTGATAAGAGAGATACCCTGGAGTCACTTAAAAAAAAAATTTTTTTATCGTAATTGATTTTTATTAAATGTAAAAATGTATCTGTATAAAAGGGTGTGTAGTTTCTGTATTGTACGTGATCTATACATATGTTGCTTTTAGCACATACAGCAGAAAACTAAACCAACACAGAAACCAGTGTGGCCAGTGGCTACTAGCTTAGAGATACACCACGGAAGAGATTCAAGCAATGAATGATGTAATGATTAATGGCTCAAAGTTCAGTAGAGATGATTTGTCAATTGGCTAACTATCTAGCTAACTGATTTCGATAAAAAGCTGTTGGTCTTCTGGATGTTTTCTTTGTCAGCAAGCGTATCGACCACAATGATTTTGACATGCTGTGGTTTCTCACGAACCAGAAAGTAGACTCTGCAGAAAAAAATATAAAATATTATTTGTGACTGTCATGTCTACATTTAGTTATCATTCACTACCAGTGCTTATGGGAGTCGCCGTGGCCGAGCGGCTAGACGCTCACAGCGGATCGGAAATGTCGTGGGTTCGCTCCACTAGGGACTTTTTTCAAAAATTGACTTTGGCTCCCAGGTCGACCTAGCCTTGAGTGGGTACCGGGTGCAGTCCCGGGAAAGTGAAGGCGGCCGGTGTGATACTGACCACATCACCCATCTTGTGCTGATTGGTCTACAAAAATATATGTCTAGCCCTATATGCCCTATACGCCTAAGGCGTGGAAAAGGGTCCTTTCCTTTTTTTTTTTACCAGTGCTTATTCTGACGCTGTAGTGGCAGTTAGTAAATCTGCCTACGAAACCAGCGGTCATATATACAAATCCCCAACGAGGAAATACTAGGATGTGTAGAAACAAATGTTTAAAAAGAGAACGTCTATACCTGAGGGGGAAATAAAATGATTTCGCCTTGCTAGCACCGACAATATGTGTTTTTAAATAAGAGAGGCATATAACCTCTTCGTTAGGTCACCGACCTATGGCAACAACATTTTGATAACAGTGTTCACAAAAACCGACCAAAGAATCGTGCGCTGACAGAATACCCCACCGTGTCACCAATTCCCATTGTTTACCACTCGGTCATTACCCCTTATCTGAAAACAAGGTTAAGGACACCTCCTGAAGTCTGCTGTCATTAGACATGGGAGTGAAGATATCGTTTGTTGTTGCCGTCAATTACTGTCGTTCAGAGGACTGCGTGGTCTCAAGGCATGATGTCCGCCTCGAGTGCTAAAGGTTCCGGGTTCAATCCCCGGTAAGGGCTGGGATTTTTTCACGTGGACTTGAACTTCTAATAATTCCCCCTGGTCTCTGGGTAGTGAGATCGGACGTCATTGTCATAGTCATTGTTGCGCACGTAAAAAATCTCTTGGCATTTGGAAATCGAAAAGAGTAACATACCGGCGCTGCCCGAGCAAAACTTGAATCTACCTAAACATATTTAAGGATCCTCGTCGGTGCTACAGAGCCTGTGCATTGTGCTAAGCTTCTTCTGGCTCAGACTTGAGTTAGAAGAAGAAGAATGGAGCACTTTTTGATGTTGATCGGTTGTTCACCTCAAACTTCACACTGCCGTACATCATCGTCAAGTGCCACCTACATAGTAGGTGGTAATACATTTCTCAGTTAACCTACACTTTTGTTGCACATTTTGTATGTGTGTTCTAGCCATATTCTGAGGGATTTCTGCTTTTGTTTTTGGTTTTTATTTTGAGTGACATATATGACTTCTCTCTTATATATATATATATATATATATATTTTTTTTTTGTTAGCGATCTACTGTTATATCTGTTTGAGTTTGATTCATGTAGAGACGTTTATTCCTATTCGTTTTCGAATGACCACATTACCACAAGCATATACAAGAATGGACAAGAATAACATAAGAATTCTGTGCGTTAAAACGTTAGTTGGACAAGTCAAAGATGGCCTGATGCTCGCTGTCCTGACACAATTAGTATTAAACAGTCATTAAGGACGAAAATATATGGATTTTGGACTGAAATTCTACATAAGGATGTTCAGAACACCGTGGACTAAAAAAGAAGGCGAGGCAGGGGTCGACCACCGCGAAGATGGATACAAAACATTGAAGGTGCATTGACATTTACAGCGCATGGTGTCGGAGAGCTGGCTAGGGGAAAGGGATACTTTCAGGCGCACCGTGAAGAGAGCGACGTTCTGTAAAGAACTTGCTGACTGATGAAGGACAATCCTTGTCTGGGCAATCCAAGACATGGTATAGATACCACTTTAAATGGATCCTAAATACTTGAAATTTTGGACTAATATGTGACCTTTAACGTACATTGATATAGTTATGCCAACTGGATTATTAATTATTACCATTTTTTCCGCGTATATTTCCATACCTCACTTGGTTTATGTTTCATCAAGCAGGTTTTTCTTAAGGCTCTTGTTCTTTCGCGGCCAGAACTTCACAGCTATGTGTTAGGTAGAATTAGGGAATGTGTTCCCGGGAATCCGATAATAATTTATACAACTGAAAACATAGTGGATCAATAAAGGTTTTTCGCTGATTTCTGAGCGGAAGTGTAACCATGGGAATATTACAAAGACAAATAGGACACAGACATTACTGTCAGTAGTGCACTGATGATGATAATGAGCACAAAAAGCTTAGACGACAAGATCAACATTAAACACACACACACACACACACACACACACACACAACTGGACGAGAGTCCGTGAAAAAGTAGCAGATAAATAACATTGCCAAACACACACACAGACAGAGACACACTACAAGATATGTCTAGCAAAGCAATACGCACAGAACAGCACAATTTCTCAATAATTTTTCCATTTAAAAAAGCGCAGGGTTAACTCTTGTCGTTCTTTTTTGTTTCAAAGTAGAAATCCAATTTGACATTATAATCACAGTAAAAAAGGGCATCAGTATTTAACTTTCAAAGACACAGCATATATTTAGCTGCTTTTAAAATACTTTGTCAGATGTCTTTTGCATTTCCAGCCACAAAATGGCATAAATAATAACACAACATTTATTGCGTTAATGCACACATACATTAACTGAGCACATATGGTGCGTTGCTTGGCACAGGAAGAGTTAGATACGTGCTGATTTTACTAAGATACGTACTGATTTTACGATGAAAGTTAACAGGAAAAAAAATCGAGTACTCACCCAAATAAAGCAACAGTAACACAGCTGACTGACGCCATAACCAGGTAGACAGCACCTGGCATGAAGGACACCGTGGCTGAGTATATCCGGTTGTAGATCTGTGAGGTTGCCAGAGAGCATAAAGTCTCAAACACGGCTATGCTGGAAAACACAGCACCTGGCAGATACATTCACAACACTTTCTGGTGAAAACTGATGGTGAGACTTAAAACACATGATATGTACAAAAATGCGTTGCACGGAAAATAACGAAAACTGATGATGATGGGGAAAATGGTACTGTTAAGATACCAGGAGATCTGGTCAACACTTTAGTCGGAGGAAAGGCAAAACGAATATCTATCTAATCTAACCGCTACTGGCACCACCGGAGTTGAAACTCTTCGCTGGTTGCTGAAGATGAGGACTGGGCGCTTATGTGTATGCCCCGAGTTATGTGATGTCGATTTTTTCCCTGAAGGCAACTCAACACTTAGATAATCTGAGACACACATACAAGTTACCTTGATGATCTGGTCCCGCCAATATAGAGAACATTGTCCTCATGACAGACGAGGTCAAGCAACTCGGTATCAGGATTACGGGAACTGTATCAATGGACATATTCACAACTATATACCAGTGCATATACACATTCGTTTAATTTGTACGTGTATGTGTGCTGGTGGCTTGCATTTAGTTTGTATATGTTTGTGTGCTTGTGGCTTGCATTTAGTTTGTATGTGTATGTGTGCTTGTGGTTTGCATTTAGTTTGTATGTATATGTGTGCTTGTGGCTTGCATTTAGTTTGTATGTGTATGTGTGCTTTTGGCTTGCATTTAGTTTGTATGTGTATGTGTGCTGGTGGCTTCGCTGAGGCTGCATTCGTATGTTAAATTTATTTCCAGAACGGACAATGATAAAGGTATGTATGTATGTATGTATGTATGTATGTATGTATGTATGTATGTATGTATGTATGTATGTATGTATGTATGTATGTATGTATGTATGTATGTATGTATGTATGTATGTATGTATGTATGTATGTATGTATGTATGTATGTATGTATGTATGTATGTATGTATGTATGTATGTATGTATGTATGTATGTATGTCTGTATGTATGTATGTATGTATGTATGTATGTATGTATGTATGTATGTATGTATGTATGTGTGTGTGTGTGTGTGTGTGTGTGTGTGTGTGTGTGTGTGTGTGTGTGTGTGTGTGTGTGTGTGTGTGTGTGTGTGTGTGTGTGTGTGTGTGTGTGTGTATGTATGTATGTATGTATGTATGTATGTATGTATGTATGTATGTATGTATGTATGTATGTATGTATGTATGTATGTATGTATGTATGTATGTGTGTGTGTGTGTGTGTGTGTGTGTGTGTGTATGTATGTATGTATGTATGTATGTATGTGTGTGTGTGTGTGTGTGTGTGTGTGTGTGTGTGTGTGTGTGTGTGTGTGTGTGTGTGTGTATGTATGTATGTATGTATGTATGTATGTATGTATGTATGTATGTATGTATGTATGTATGTATGTATGTATGTATGTATGTATGTATGTATGTATGTATGTATGTATGTATGTATGTATGTATGTATGTATGTATGTATGTATGTATGTATGTATGTATGTATGTATGTATGTATGTATGTATGTATGTAGGTAGGTATGTATGTATGTATGTATGTATGTATGTATGTATGTATGTATGTATGTATGTATGTGTGTGTGTATGTATGTATGTATGTATGTATGTATGTATGTATGTATGTATGTATGTATGTATGTATGTATGTATGTATGTATGTATGTATGTATGTATGTATGTATGTATGTATGTATGTATGTATGTGTGTATGTATGTATGCCAAGATGGTTAACTGAGCTAGATGAAAGTTCCAGAAAATTGCTGAAGAAGACATAGTGACAGTTGATGAGATCAAGGCCGGGCTACGAGAAACAATAAACAGTGCACCGGGTCCAGATGGTATAAGGTATGATGAAATTGGAAGGTCTACTGAAAAAAAAAAAGCTGGAAGAATTGTACAATAACAGTACTAGTATCAACGAGGAATGGCTACACTGCTACCTGATAATTCTGCCAAAGCCTGGCAAAGACTACAGACAAATTTAAGGGTATCGGATAATCACAATGCAGGATACTACAGGTAAGCTGTTGGAGAAGACAAATGCAAGACAAATATCGCGCCAGCTAGAGAGGGAGTATGTTCTTTCATCTACCCTAAACAGAGAAGATTGCCCAGTAAAATGTTTGGTGTTTTAATTTATGTCAATTTAGTCTGTGAGACAGGCAGGTATGCATGCAGATAAACAGGCAGTAGGACAGACAGACATGCACGCACACATAAAGCTAGCAGTTGTTCAACTAACCTAAATAGAACTGCCAGGAGGCGTTTATGAAAGCCTCTAACACAAAGGCACCCCCCTGGAAGGTAGCACCGATCATCCCAATGGGCTCGATGGCCATACACATCTGGAGCAGTTTGTAGACTATAATAGCCAGAAAATGTCCACCGGCAGTCCGAATGGCGGAGTAGTTCCCTATCTTGACTGAGTCCCAGCAGAACGGATAGTGCATCTGGTACAGGGAGTCCAGCGAGTTGAGATGGAGGTCGTTTGCAACTCCAACAATAAACATTAAAAGACAAACACAGAACGTTGCCCGGCGTCTGACGGTGCCATCTAGGAAATATAAACCAAATATATTTTTAATGTGAGTCAGTGGACTGACGCCTTTTATTGACCGACGTTGTTGTAAAGTTTCTGGGAGAAAAATCAGTGGCACGATGAATGACAGAAGTGTCAATCCGCACAAAAAAATTGCCGCTTCAAAAAATCCATAATTTTTAATGAGATATCCGCCAGTGACATTGATGACTGCAGACATTGTGGAGGATGCACACGACACAGCGTAGATCCAGAATGTTCGATCTTTCTTGGAGTAGCTGATGTCGGCTGTAAACGAGTAGAGAGCCAATAGGATTGAGTAGGATGTGCCAGCCAAGCCGTCAATGCCATATGCCAGGTAGAAGTAACTGAGATCAAAGTTAAACCTAGAAGAAATACATACATGGTTAGTTAGTTAGTTAGTTAGTTAGTTAGTTAGCTAGCTAGCTAGTTAGCTAGTTAGCTAGTTAGTTAATTAGTTAGCTAGCTAGCTAGTTAGTTAGTTAGTTAGTTAGTTAGTTAGTTAGTTAGTTAGTTAGTTAGTTAGTTAGTTAGTTAGTTAGTTAGTTAGTTAGTTAGTTAGTTAGTTAGTTAGTTAGTTAGTTAGTTAGTTAGTTAGTTAGTTAATTAGTTAGTTAGTTAGCTGGCTAGCTAGTTAGCTAGTCAGTAAGTCTTTGCTCTTGAGCCTAGGGCGGCACATAGGGCAGAGGTCATAGCTCTCCATGTCGGGCGGTTTGTTGCCACAAGTTTTAGAACCTTCCCTGATGAAATGGTTCTCTGCATGGTCCCTCCTGGTCTTTCCCGTTTTTGTCCCTCTTCCGGTGTCCACATGAGGGCTTAATGGGGTAGTTTTGTCTTATCCATTCTGAGTGCATGGCAGATGTAGTTCTAGCGGTGCTTTCCTTTAAAATTTGATTCTTTTTCTTCTCTTCCACCTTGTACCTCATCGAAGTGTCGGGTGGAGATGTAATGTTCGTTAATGAGCTCTGTCAAGAGTACTATTAAGAGTGATGTTCATTTCTGTAAGTCTGTTCTTAATGCCATCGCTCCATATTTTCCGAGGTCTTCCACTCGCTCTATACCCGTTGTAACGTTTTAGTTTGGCTCGCTGTGGCAGATAGTACCAGGGCCTTCTTGTTAGGTTTATAAAATTGGATACATTCTGTTAATCTGGTAATCTGGTAGTCTGGTGATCTTAGTTTCAGCTTCATAGCAAACGGGTCACCCCATAGTTGCTCCGCTCCTGTGCCAACGAAAAACACACATAATTGTTATCCCAGTCCCCTGTGGAAAGACTGACAGACTGCTGTCTCAGCATATGCACTAGCATACACACGCATTAAAAGCATACGGTTGCCATCCGAAGTGCTAACACAAACAGTTTGACATTAGAAATGCACATCATCGTGGATGGTAGCAGAAGTTACCAACAGATCATCAATTGCACACGCAATCAATTTTAACCACATAATGGCACCCCCAATATTGCGGCAACAGGCGTCGCGCCATTTTCTGAATCTACATTTCACACCACCACGTTGGCCACAGACGAAAAACATTCCAAATGAAATCCGCAGCTCACAGTGTCACGCCATGCACTCAATTTAGAAACTGGGCAACGAAATAATATCCTTCCAGTCTACAAATGGAGCTAAAATGCAACAGCCACCGTCTGGCAGAAGTAAACATTTTGTCACAGGTCAAAACAGTATCCCGGAAGTCCGGGATACATTATCTTGCCTGATCTCTTGTTTTTTTTTTTTTTGCGTATTGGATCTGAAATCTGTTCACTGGAGATTTAGTATTCTCCTGAAACATCTGTTCTCAAAATTTTCTTCTTCTTCTTCTTCTTCTTCTTCTTCTTCTTCTTCTTCTTCTTCTTCTTCTTCTTCTTCTTCTTCTTCTTCTTCTTCTTCTTCTTCTTCTTCTTCTTCTTCTTCTTTTTAAATCTAGAGCTGCCGTTGTTTTTTCAGCTCTCGCTTCCATAATTTAGCACTGAAATCACACAAGAGTTGAAAATTTTAGGTTTTGTGTGTTTGCTAAAATGTCTTTGACTTCCAGATGTTTGACGGTTCGTTAAAGGCATTAATTAAATGCCAGTGTGATTCTAGATGATATTTGTATATACAAGGTAAAAGACAAGCACTCTTTTCCACGTCTTTCAGGCGTATTGGGTAGATAGTGCTAGACTTGTATTTTATAGGCCAAACGGAACTTTATAGGTGATGTAATCAGCATCGCGCCGGCCGCCTTTACTTTCCAGGACTGCATCTGATACCCACTTAAGGCTGGGTTGACCTGGGAGCCAAGGTCTTTTTTTTTTAAAGTCTCCCCCCCCCCCACCCCTCCCCCCCCCCCAAGTCATCAACGAACCCACGACCTTCCGATCCGCAGGCGAGCGTCTAGCCACTAGACCAAGACGGCTCCCACGTACAAGGTAGACACTGCAAATAATATTAATATCTTGGCAATAAAACAATAATTGAAACGTGCACAGTGCTGGATGTAAGCACCAGCTAAATAAACTTGGGAGGCTCGCAATATGCAGGGGTCCAAACATATTTTTTACTTTTGGGAGCAAGTGAACAACGCGAAGGCACGAATGGCTCATTATGGAGGATCTGGTCAACACTCTGCGGTCAGAGGAAAGGCAAGTGGCTTGTAAACGATCTGCTTCTGTCCCAACAAGGGAGCACAGTAACACTGATATTATTGTTAGTTTCCCATTAAAAATAATACCGCCCTGAACTTTATTTAAAGTCTTGCTAGCTCGGCTCTCTAGCGTAGTTGGTTAAACCTGACTTTCGCGGCGGCCGGGTGACGAACTCCTTGTGGTCCGGGCTCACTCCCGGGGGTAGGCAGAAAAGCCCCATTTTCTACCAGAATAACGGTAGCTACAATGGAATCAAGGCTGAAGGGTTGTGATATCCATAGTACCGAGCCAAAAGGCCTACAACTCATAGTTTCTGGATACTTTAAAAAATAAAAAATAAAAGTCTTGCTCTATTGTATATTGTTCTCGGCCTTGCAACAATTACAGGAGCCGCCGTGGTGTAGCGGCTAGACACTGCCTCCGGATCGGAAGGTCAGGGGTTCAGGTCCTGACGGAGCCGACTTTTCTTGTTTTTCAAAAATGACCTTGACTTCCCAGGTCGACCAAAACTTTAATAGGTAGCATGTATATTTCTGAGACGTAAAGGCGGCCGGTGTGATGTTGACTACATCACCCACCGAGTGCCGATTGATCTATAAAATATAGTTGTAGCACTGTATACCCAATACGTCTGGAGGCGTGAAAAGGGTCCTATGCTTTTAATTTACTTATAATAACACCTACCATGTTGATGATAGTGTTTACACATATTAGTCCCGCAGTAATGGTGTCTGCATATGTTACACGGGTTTATTGGTCTAAGCTGCTGTTGTTGTATCGTTGTTCTCTTGTCATTGTTGCTTTAGTAGTCACCGAATTAGTGCGTTATGAATGAAACAATAAGTGGAGAAAAAAAATTCAAGCAATGAATGCTTATCTATATCACATGAGTATTTATACACATGTATTGATGTTGCTGTTGTTACTGCTCTGTTATTGTTCTATTGTTGTTTTCATTGAGTTGTTTTATTATGTCGTGACGTTCTTTTTTTATTCTTGGTTTGTTCTAAATTAATGATTTATTGTTAATATATTAAAATTTAATTGAGAATTTTTCATGTGGTTTTCGGAGCCCTATTGTAAGTGGGGGGGAGGGGGGCCGACAAGAATAGTCTCACTGCCTCCTTAACAAGCACTTTGTGAGAGTCGACTGTCTAAGACTTATCTTCGAAGTCGGAATGAATCTGTCTAAAGGCAAGGAACCAACAGTCTGCGTACAAATAAGCCAGATCTTTGAAAGCGGATGTGCACACAGAACTCAAGTATCGGAACAAGACTAAAGTGCAGGAATTGACGAACAACCAGAACTTTCCGCCAGAGTTAACAGCTGGTAACACGAAGAGGAAGAAAAGAGAGTTGATAATCTTCTTATTCTTCTGCCTTTCTTGCCTCCAATAAAGCATAGGCCCTCAACCAATTCACGCCGAGTCGTTCTATCCTTCGTTATCACATGCAGCTTTTCCCATGTCCTCTCAATATTTTTAACATCACTCTCTATCTCCCTTCTCTCTCTCTCTCTCTCTCTCTCTCTCTCTCTCTCTCTCTCTCTCTCTCTCTCTCTGTGTGTGTGTGTGTGTGTGTGTGAGTGTATTTGTGTGTATGGGGGGGGGGAGGGTCTTTCTTTATTTATATGCCCCTGTGGGTTTCACTGTAATGACATTTTAGTTATATTGTTTTCGAGTTGTCTCAACTTGTATCCTATCCAACGCTACCGTCTTTTCTTCGTTTCTGTGTCCACTGGAACTTGTTTAGTGCTTTCCCATAGTTCAGTATTAGTGATTCTATCCACGGCCAGCTCCAGATTTATATGCAGCCGGACGTGTTCTATCATACCTTTAATTCCCAATATTTAGCATAAGTACCATTTAATGAACGTTTGCAGTTTATCAGTAACTGTTTAGTTGTTCGCTATTTTCCGCTCCATACAGCAGTACTGATGTGACATTAGGTTAAACAAAAATTTAACTTTACTACTAGAGCATTTTTTTCCACAACAAAGTGTCCAAAAAGATGCCAGAACTCACCGCAACTTCAAAGTGTTTAAAGAGGGTGCAGGTGTCCACCAAAAGTGACTTTACAAAATTGAGTCTAAAAAGATGGCGGTATTGCGCACGATTGCGCACCACCCGGGAGAGGGGGAGGGGGGGGGGGTCTTGCCTGGTACACATAATAACATGGACTTTGAGCCGTTACTGCTAGTTCCTACTTACTTGACAATACAACAGATGATCGCTGTCTTCACAAAGTTGGTAAACACTGGAACCAGCAGCAGCAAACGCCGACCTACATAGTCTGCGTACGAGCCCAAAAGGAGGCAAGCAAAGAATGCTGGGATCGTCTGTGCCAGCACATAGTAGGTCAGTTGCTCGGAAGCCTTAGCAGAAAATCAGTACATGTTAGTTTTATAAGTCGAAAAAGCATTAATGCACATATATAGGTAAACATGCTGATAAAAAACATGCTTATTTTAAAGTAAAAAAAAAAAAGGAAAGATCTCTTTTCACGCCTTTAGGCACATCGGCCATATTGGAAGAGCACCCATATTTTTACAAACCAATCGACATTAAGTGGGTAATGTGGTCAGCATTACGCCGACCGTTTTAACTTCCCCAGGACATACATCCTGGTACCCATTTTAGGTTGGGTAGACCTGCGACGCCCTATACCATGATAAAAATCCACACAGCCAGCAGTGGGTTTCGATCGCGGTACGTTTGAATTACGAGTCTGAAAACTGATTAGTTCCAGCAAAACAGATACCCCAAACACAGGCGTCAGCCGATTGAGCTCCTCCCCCCCCCCCCCCCCTGAAGTTTGTGTAACTGAGCCCAATCCCTACTCCTCCCCCCTTTCCTTTTCCATCGGAACACTCCAAGTAATGTCTTTGTATCGGCGCCCGCTTTTCTAACAGATAATTGTATCTGGCTACGGATCTTGCCGAGTTTGTGAAACCAGTATGTGTCTTTTCACTTCATCGGTTTTAGTAATGTATATCTAGGGTTAACACAATACTTTTGCTAAAAACGGGACATCCCATCAATATTTTGAGTTGAAAACGGGGCATCCCATCATTATTTTGAGCTGAAAACAGCACATCGCTAGCAGGTCAGTTGAACCCTACTCCCATTTTTCTTTCTAGGTCAACAGACAGGAAAGTGTTAATTACTGGCTTAACATGTGTATTAAAACCCAAAGCATTGTCAAAAAACAAACGAAACAATACGCTCTTTAATTGCACTAAAAATAAGAAATATGCTACAATGAAAGTTCCCATCAACACATCTCAAGCATTAAAATCCATATGTTCTGCTTGCACAGATCTTTTTGTCGCTGTGAAGCCGGCCTCGACAACTTCTACCCATCTGTAAAGCACCATATAGCCAGGGTCTTTAACATTTTTTCAGTTCGCTGCCCCCTTGAATATATGGCAAGAACACCCCGCACTTTTTTTGTTTGTTAAATTTATGGCGACCCCAAGCCATTTTCGGTATATTGCAAGGCCATCATGCCCCTTCCCTCCCCCAGCCCCTTAAGTATATTGCAAGACCTATACGCTCCTTCCTCTTTTCCGCTTCGACATGACAAAATGTGATTCAAAATAAGACAATAGGGGGAGAGAGAAAAATAAGGATCGTTTGTGTGCTTTTCCCAATGTATTGTACAAGTTGGTGTTCATTTCTGCTAGGTTGCTCCTGATAATGTTGCTCCATATCTTGCGTGGTCGTCCCCTTGCTCTGTGTTCATTATATTTATTCAGTGTATCTATCTCTCTTGTTAATCAACATAGAACTGGTACTATTAGCCATCGGACGTTGGGGTTCATACTGAGGGGAGGATCTGAGCACCTATGGACATGTCCGGAGTGCAATGATGATAACCCAACTAACTAACTAACTAACTAACTAACTAACTAACTAACTAACTAACTAACTAACTAACTAACTAACTAACTAACTAACTAACTAACTAACTAACTAACTAACTAACTAACTAACTAACTAACTAACTATCTATCTCTCTGTACCAGTTGGTACCAGAGCATTCTCGTCAGGCCGCCAAACCATTTCATTTGTTGTTCTTTAATGAACTGTATGACTGGTTTCACTCATAGTCTTCTTTTAATTTCTTCATTCCTGATTTTATCTCTTCTTGTCGCCCGGCTCTCTAGCGAAGTTGGTTAAACCTGACTTTCGCGGCGGCCAGGTGACGAACTCCTTGTGGTCCGGGTTCACTCCCGGGGGTAGGCAGAAAAGCCACATTTCTCCCAGATTAACGGTACCTATAATGGAATCAATGCTGAAGGGTTGCGATATCCATAGTACCGAGCCAAAGGGTTTACAACTCATGGTTTCTGGATACGTAAAAAAAAAAAAAAAAAATCTCTTCTTGTCTCACTGGAAGCACAATGTCGGCTAAAAACCCGTTCTTTTGAGATTAACAAAACTATGACAAGTAAAAATGCACTCAATTTCAAAACTTCTTGACGTCCCCTTAAAACCACCCCATGTCCCCCTAGAGGGGCTCTCCCTCCAGGTTGGAGACTAGTGAACTGCCATATCCTTGGAGACTGCTATCCTCCATTCTACGCTTCTATCTAAACTACCAAATTATAGGAAAAGACAAAAATGGACCATAGTACTGAGGGACGCTGGAAGCCAGAGACGTAGGCACATTTGGCCTTCTTGTAAATTTTGGGAGGAAAAGACTTGGGAGGAAGGGTGAGCTCAAGTCGTTTGAACCACAAGTTTCCGGAACCTATGATGCACACACACATAAACGCATATACATACAAACACACATACATACAAACACACACTCCTGCGCGCATGCGCAAACAATGCATGTTGGATAAGAACCTGTGATTGGGGATCATTCCCAGACTCTGTATTGGAGCTGTTTCCGCTGTCAATGCAGGAGCTCACTTTAGTGACGTTGCTGAAACCAATCTCGTCTTCAAGCCTTTTCACTATGTACTGTGTTACCAGGGACTCCCTGGTTCCTGATACGGACCTGAAAACAAAGAGTGGGTGTCAGAAGAGAAAAACTATATAAAAAATGTTCACAGATTTTACAACACGCTGTAGGGAAAAAAAATAGACTATGGAAACTGTATACATATTCAGATGGTGATATTGTCGTTGTGATATAAAATGTTTATGTATTAATGTTTATTTTAAACATCTTGTCATGAAAAAATGCTGGGTAGCATCGGTTTCCTACCTCGCCGCTCTCACACGGCGTAATTTTTCGGGAGGTTTTCAAAATTATAACATAAAGTACCATGTTTATGTCAGCGAAAGCTGGATAACCACTGAAGATATGGAACGATAGTTGTATGCATTTGAAAATAAATGTCTGAGGAAAAATAATGAACATAAAATGGAATGAATTCAAAAAGCGTAAGGAGTTATGAGAAATGTATTGACAAATACCTGTATCGACTGAAACAAGACAGAGAAGGTGAAAATATACTGGGCTCACCCTGAGAGGAAATAAGCGAAGAATTGCAAAACAGGCCCTAAAATTGGAAAACAGTCTGAGATGGACAAAGAAGGACGTCCAAAGGAAGCATTAAGAAGGACATTACTACAAGAGGCTAGAAGTCCTTGTTGAACTCCATGTCAGAAATCGAGAAAGTTACAAACAATAATACGGAATAAAAGAATCGAATGCGAGCCCCATTTGACATCTAACTTACTGGTAAAGTAAAGGACCAGTTTTACGTTCAGAAGCATTGGATGTAAAGTAAGTAAAAGTAAAGAACCCGTTTTACGTATTCAGGCGTATTCAGCGTGAAGTGAATAAAAGTAAGTAAAGAACCCGTTTTTACATCTTCGTGCATCTTAGACGTAACGTAAGTAAAAGTAAAGTAAATGAACTTCATTTTACATCTACAGTCGTATTGGGCTTAATGTAAGTAAAAGTGAAGTAAAGGACCCGTTTTTACGTTTTCGTGCATCTTGTGTGTAAAATAAGTACATCATCATCATGTAGCAGGTCCTATGAAGAACGTCGCTCTCATCACAGTCTACCTGAAAGAAACTCGGTCTCTGGCCGGTTCTCCCGCCTCATGTACTTTCATACTCATGGAGTCACTTTTATCCTGTGCCCATCTTCGTGTCGGTCGGCCCCTGCCCCTTCTTCTTGGTATAATGCCTTCTGCTATAAATAGTTTTTTCCAATCCGTTGTGGCGCTTGATATGACCAAAATATTTCAGCTTTCGAGAAAGGATATTGTTTATTAGCCAATCTTCCTTGATGCTCAGATCTTTTAAGATGTCAACATTTCTCCTCTTCTTTGTCCAAGATATTCTGAGAATCTTTCTAAAGCATTTCAGCTTAAAAGCCCCTATTCTCTTTCTTAAGGACTGAGAGATAGTCCACGACTCACATCCGTCTTTTTCTAAACCGCCCATTGCGGGGATCAAACCCTGGTAAACGTTGAGGACTGCATTGTGAAACGATTTCATTAACCTCTAAGCAATAAAACATTTGGAAGTCAAGATCACTCAGCAACAACACGAAACTTAAGGTCTTCAATTCCTGTGTGATCCCAGTGCTAACTTATGGTTGTGAGAGTTGGAAATCATCAGTATCAATCGATAAGAAACTAGTCGCTTTCGAGAATAGATGCATCCGAAAGCTATTGAATGTTCACTGGTCGGACTTTAGGTCCAATACATCTATAAGACAGGAAACAAAACAAAAATATGTGTCTGATTTTATTAGAATGCGTCGCTGGAATTACATCGGTCACGTACTCAGAATGGACATACAGAGACTTCCCCACCAAGCCTTCATATGGTCACCAGAGGGTAAAAGAAAACAGGGAAGACCAAAAGAAACTCTCCGTAGAACCATCACAAGGGAGAGCTCAACCATAGGTCTCAGTCGCACTCAAGACCTACATCAAGTGGCAACGAACCGACAGACGTGGAAAGCTATGACCTCTGCCCTATGCGCCATCTTTGGCACAAGAGGAATAACTAACTAACTAACTAATAAAATAGCTCTCTAATTAATGAACCAAAACGAAACAAACGAAAAATTGAAATTTAAGATAAAATGTGAAATATTTTCATAACTCACACTGCAAACACAGGAATGAAAGCAGCACTTATCCGGGCTCTGAGAATAGAATAACGAGGTTTGTCGCCATTGTTGCTCTTTGGCAGCAACAGCTCTGACTCTTTTTCCTCTTTTGTCGCTGTCATTTGTATTTTTACTTGTTGTTTAGTCGTATTGTAATCATATACTTGCTGACAATGCACGGCCTCTTTTTCACATGTTAAATCTGTATGAAAAACTACCTACGTTATGTAGCTTTATATTGTAACCTTTTCCTATTTTGGTCTTGTTAATTAAACTGAGTAATGCTTGATAACTTAATTCTGAATTACTAGCTTTGTCAATTGGCTTGAATACTTAAGTGTTGCGTGTGATTACATTAGTACGTCCAAATAAACAATATTTATTTTTGACAGCGTGTGCTCGGTTGTTGCCCTGTAAGCCAAGCGAGGTTTGTAAATGTTGGGAACCGGGCCAGTTCGACGCTCGTGGGTGCCCTGTTTGATAACATATTTACAAGTATAGGACAAGGTCAACGAAGTATCCAGGATGTGAAAATTAACGCAACAGAATTCAGATATGAAGATATGCGCTCGGGAAAGACAATGAAAACATAATGTCCCATGGTTAGAAACTACAACCAAGCAAATAAGACAAGCTTTAAAATGCACTTCTAAAAAATCAACCTACCACATGTTGGACTGCAGGCTCGTTAGTCAACCAGGGGGAGTCGCGTGTGCAGATATTTTTTTCTTCTAGATAAGAATTCCCAAAAGAACAGAACGACTAGAGGCTACTGCAGATGCTGCCGCAAATACTACTTCTTCTTCTGCGACGTCTTCTTTTTCGTTTTTTTTTTCTTCTTCTTCTTCTTCTTCTTCTTCTTCTTCTTCTTCTTCTTCTTCTTCTTCTTCTTCTTCTTCTTCTTCTTCTTCTTCTTCTTCTTCTTCTTCTTCTTCTTCTTCTTCTTCCCTTTTCCTTCTCCTGTTCATCCTTCTCCTCCTCTTTTTTCTCCTCCTCTTTTTTCTCCTTCTCCCTCTCCTCATCCTACTCCTCCTAGTGCTGGATTTAGGTATACGCTAAATAAGTTATGGCCTAGGGCCTCACATTCTGAATGGGCCTTAACCAAATGTTCATTTGCCAGCCGCGCTTTGGAAAAATCTGGTCTTACTAAATGCGGTGATTTCTGTGCTCACAAATTTGATCTAACTAATTGCTGCGATTTATGTGCCCACAAATCTGGTCTAACTAATTGCTGTGATTTCTGTGCCCACAAATCTGGTCTAACTAATTGCTGTGATTTCTGTGCCTACAAATCTGGTCTAACTAGTTGTGTGATTTCTGTGCCAACAAATCTAGTCTAACTAATTGCTGCGATTTATGTGCCCACAAATCTGGTCTAACTAATTGCTGCGATTTATGTGCCCACAAATCTGGTGTAACTAATTGCTGTGATTTCCGTGCCCATAAATCTGGTTTAACTAATTGCTGTGATTTTCGTGCCCACAAATCTGTCAAGTTTCCTTCTCCATACAAAAAGGTATGTAAGTGCTCGCCAAGAACGTCTTGCTGGTGCAAATGTTCTCCTCACTGTCGGCTGTGGATTGGTTACAAAAATTAAAGTGTATCCTGCCCATTGGCCTATCCGGCTTGTTTTGTATATTTTCTCACCAGCGCTTGGCTGAACGGATAAGACGTTGGTTATCATGCCGGAGACTCACCTTCGTATCCTCAGTTAAGTGATAGGTATGGTGTTGTTGTTGGTCGGGGAAGGGGAGGAGGGGGAGTCCCAAACTGTACAGTCCGTGGCGACTCTACAACATGCGACTCTGAATTCTTAGATTCAAAGACCACCCTCAATCCACAGCAGCAAAGGTAAGTAAATACAGGCAATAATGACAGCTTTGTTTATACATTCTAACTACAAAATACTTTTTTTTTTTAAACTCCTCTCTCTGTCACCAGCTTATTTCTTTGTGGCGATGGAGCCAGTAGTTGTATATACACTCTCAGCCTGCTATTCGTCCGTCTCTTGGTGTACTCCTTCCACTTGGAAGGCTATGTGTACCTCTTGCTCGCCTGTCTTCACTTTTTTCCTATTTGTGTGGTTATTATAGTCGGCATCTGTGGCTAAGGCGTTGCGCACGCGCTTCGTAATGCCGGGTATATATCTTCTTTATTTACAACTGCCCTTTCTTTCATTCACAGTTTCTCCCGAACATCTGTATTGGTTTTTTTTTAATTAAAAAAAAATACGGTCTATGAGTATGCATATCCAAATCATCATGTTACTGTCACACTCACTGCTTATTGTCCAAACTACTGTTTAATTAAAAGCATAAGCTTTCGATATAAGAGTTTCAGTGATAAGTATAATAATATACGCAAGAAGATTCTTGACAGCCCTTTGTCCTGGCACTTAGGGGTGTCAGCAAATGAACTAATCCATGCTGTTGAACATCGTAGGTTGTAAAGAGGCATGATCACCCCAGTCGGCAAGTCATTTGATGATAATGATGATGACAGCGAGGTGGGTGGAGGTTTTCATGCTGTTTAAGCCGTTTGTCTTGCTTTGTGAAAAATGTAGGTTCGGTTTATAGACTGCGTGGTATGTTCAAAAGGATTTGTATGGAGATCCCTGAGTTCGTCGTTAGAGCTATGGAGTCTGTGCTTTGTGCGCTGCTCTTGACAGGCCGCTAACCATGCAGCGGAGAGAGACCTATCTATACGGAATAAGATCCGATGCAAAAAGTGGGTCCTTTCGATTTTAAGCATTTAAAGTGTTGATTACGTTGAATTAGTGAAACTGTACGTAAGAAGATGAAAAACATTGACATCTTAAAAGATATGAACATCAAGGAAGATTGGCTAATAAACAGCATCCTTTCTCGAAGGCTGCAATATTTTGGTCATATCAAGCGCCACGACGGATTGGAAAAAATTATAGCAGAAGGCATGGTACCAGGAAGGAGGGACAGAGGCCGACCGACACGAAGATGGGCACAGGATATGAGTGACTCCTTGAGTGTAAAGGTTCATGAAGCGGGAGAGCTGGCAAGAGACCGAGTTTCTTACAGGCAGACTGTGATGAGAGCGACGTTCTACAAAGGACCTGCTACATGATGATGTACACATGATCGTTATTTAAGTTCTGACTTCGGACAGAAAGGAAAATTCATAGGTTAAACACAAAAAAGAACTATTTGTTGGTCAGTGGGTTAACAATTTTATCGAAGACTAAAATGTAACTCAAAAGTCCAGTCTATAGATATTCTCATTTTATGAGCCTTTAAAGGTTATTGCAAATAATCACTCTCTCTCTCTCTCTCTTTCTCTCCCTCTCTCTCTCTCTCTCTCTCTCTCTCTCTCTCTCTCTCTCTCTCTCTCTCTCTCTGTGTGTTTTTCTCACGCACGCACACACACAAACACACACAGAACATGCAACTACAGGTTAATTAATTTGTGTTATTGAATGAATTATCATTTTGAACATAAATATTTTATAATATCCCATTTATTTATCTTCAAAATAATAATTTTTTTCAATAAAACATGTTGCAAATTAATTAAACTGTAGTTCAATATATGTATTAATTTACTCGATAACAATTGTTACCACCGACCGGCCACGCAAGCCTCACAAAAACGGAAATTCCCGTTTGAGCTGTATGGCCTTATGTTTGGAGCTGGCCGTGGTTCGTGTCAAACCAACGCACCATCGCTAATCTAAATGTACTACTGTAGAGCTGTCCTTCGCTGTTAGTCTAGAAACCCAGTGGGTTGTGCAATGTGTGCACTTAAAACTCCACAATCGGGATACGACTGACATATTAGAGTGCAATTATGTCATAATTAAGCATGGCTTTACACAGCATAGTAGTGGCTAAACTTCAGTTATTAATTGTTTTTCTACTGGTGTAAGGAATCATTCTCCCAAATTTAGTTTAGAGAAGTACTGGGGGAGAGATCTCCGTCACGGAATCACTTAGAAAGCACGCATGAGAAAAAACGCTGTGTCTCTAGCCATATCATTGCTTTTGTTCCCGTCATCACCACCATAGTCAGACTATTTGTAGTCGTGGAAAAATCCACGCTATCTTCTTTTACAGTTTTTCCTTGAACAAGAACCACGAAAGCCCATGACAATTGTACGTGTCAAACAACGGATCCGTCAGTGAAGAAAACTGCCCCTTCTTCGGCCCTCCCACATCTGCTGCATAGAAATGCGTGCTCTGTTTTCTAAACCACATTTTGCTTTTACATTTAACTTCTACGTCATTCACGAAATGTCTCTTGCCAAGGTGGGTTTTCAGTTGACCTAAAAAGGTGGAAATCGCTAGCGGCTAAGTCGAGGTTGTAAGGTGGATGTTCCAGAAGTTCCCACCCTACTTGGTTAATTTTCTCTGAGTTAACTGAGCTGTATGTGGTCTGACATTGCCATAAAGAAGCAGTACTCTTATTAGCAGGCCTGAACATTTTCTTCGAATTGCATCATGAAGCACCGACAAAACTTAACATTATAAATTAGCATTCACATTGTCACCTCTTTTTTGAAAATGTTTAAAAGCACACCTTGACAATCCCAGAACACTGTCAGCCTAACCTTCCCTGCTGATGACATAACCTTGAATTTTTTTAACACAGGGTGAAGAAGGATGTTTCCATTGCATTGAAACACGCTTTGACTCGGGCTGGTAGTGATGCACCCATAATTCATCCCCAGGAGTAATCCTGTTCGCTGTTCAGCGTGTCTTCTCCTTCATCTTCGTATCGACAGAGATGCTGCAAGGACAGGCCTTATTGTTTCATTTTGTTGTTGTTCGTCAATTGTCTGGGTACCCACCTTGATCAAACTTTCTTAAATTTTAGTCGAGCATGAATTTTGTTGCATGCTGCACCATGTGAGCACCCTATTGCAGCTGCTACAGAGTCAACAGTTACTCGCCTGTCAACTCTAATCATCTCCTCCACCCGCTGCACGAATGCGTCTATTGCAATCTCAACAGGACGACCAGATCGGATTTCATCAACAATCGTAGAGTGTCCTTAAGAAAGAAAAAAAAAAATTACTCAGCTATGCACCGCTTTATGGTGTCAAGTATCACTCCTGTCGCGTGCCTAATGTAAGGATTTCTCCTTCAGAACC